AAAACAAATTCTTAACACTGAGTCCCACTGGGCGTGCCAATTTGTTTACTATGGAAAATGGTAAACAACTTCCGGTCCTCCCAAAGTCCTAAAACTAAGGGTAACTTGCAAGATCGACCACTTGATCGTAAGACATGTGCTAAGAGTTTTGTTATTATACTTATTCTATCGAAATCATTGTCAAGGGAAACCGTTTTCTGTGACTAAGGGAACAAGTATAACTATTTTCCACACTATGAATCGACCGACTGACTGGTGACCGACAGAAGGTATTGAATTGTTTACGCGAAGTAGAAAACAACGTAAAGGGTTTGTTCAACAGTATACAAAAAGCAAAAAAAAATTCAAAAGAGATAATGGAAAATAAAGGATTTGCATTGAAATAAAAGTGGTGATTCACATACATCAAGCACTTCTTCGCTCTTAGTTTCTTAACGCTTGGAATGACAGAGTTTTTGATAAGTGATTTGAACATACAAGTGAACACACCAAAAACTACATTGAATCTGCATATTTATAGTATTTACAATATAACTGCCTAGATGAAATCTACGGACAACCTTGAAATCTTGAGACAACCGCTTCACTGGATTTCGCCACCTATTTGGCGCTTAATCAGATTGTAAACCGCTGACAACTACTGATAACTTTGAAATTCAAATCTTCCCGCTTCTAGATTTTGAGGGTAAACCGTTTCTGACTCACTTCGACACTTTCCCTTTGGCAAGAGTCAAACAATCAACCACAATTCCTCTAAGTCCAGCAACCCTTTTGGTTGACAGAAACCAATTTCGACTATTTTCCTTATCTTTCACCCTTTGGTCGACTAAACCAATTTCGACCATTTCTTAACATATTCTTTTATTTCCTTTTGGTCGACCTATCTCAGTTTCGACAGTTTGGCGTGATATTCTTTAAACATTAAATCTAGTTTTGCTAAAACCAAACTTTCAAACACTTTAGCCCCAATTTCTACTTTAGAGGATGACCCTTAGCTTATGAGAATATCTTCATTTACCACATGTGCTTGTTTACCTTAAGATTTTTAAGGTAACACTAAGAAACAGATATTTGCAATGGTCAAGGATAGAGTGTGGAACAAGATTTAGGGTTGGAAGGAGAAGTTCTTGTCTCGGGCAAGAGAAAAAGTTATTATCAAAGCGGTGGCTCAAGCCATCCCAAGTTACATTATGTCTTGCTATAAAATTTTGGAGAGCTGTTGTCATGAGATTGAAGCCATGATTTCTAAATTTTGGTGGGGAACAAAAAAGGGGAAAAGGAAGATTCACTTGTTAAGTTGGGACAAGATTGCGCGTGCAAAAGGGGATGGTGGCATGGGATTCTGTGGAATCAGTAATTTCAACATAAGCTTGTTAGGGAAGCACTATTGGAGACTTCTGAAGGATGGTGAATCACTACTTCCCAAGTTCTTGAAAGGTAGATACTACCCCCGTAGTTCTATATTTGAGGCCTCTCCAACTTATAATCCATGCTACGCTTGGAGAAGTATATTGGGGGCAAGGGATGTGGTAGAAAAAGGTACGGTTTGGAGGATTAGCAATGGTGAAAAAGTGCGAATTTGGGGGGATAACTGGTTGCCTGACATCCCGTGGTTCAAACTCTTCAAAACTGACGCTTCTACCAATATGGAAGGAAGAGTTTGTGATTTCATAGACAGTGATTTGAAGACTTGGAACAGTGGGCTGGTTCAGAGCCGTCTCAACCCATATGAGGCAAATCATGTTCTTAATATTCCTCTTTCAAGGAAACTTATGGAAGACGAGCAAATATGGAATTTTGATATGGATGGTGAGTATTTTGTAAGGTCTGCTTACCATATGCTTCATCAACTTAAGGTCTCAAAGAAACCTGGACCTTCGACTCCACCGAAATAAAAACTATGGAAAGTTATCTGGCACCTCAATGTTCTTCCTAAAGTCCGTAAATTCCTTTGGCGTCTGGCAAAAAACATCTTACCCATAAAAACCAATCTTCAAGCAAAATGTGTCATCCTTGATCATACGTGTTCGTTGTGCAACTCGGCTCCTGAATCAAGTACCCATATGTTCATGCATTGTGAATTCCTAAAGCTTGTTTTTTCTCTTCACCCTTAGGTTTTCGTATTCCTTCAGGTATAAAGATTTTGGACTGGTTGTTAAGTGTCCCGAGTTCAAACAATAAGGATAGTGCCAGAATCATTGGTACTACCTTGTGGAAAATCTGGACAGCCAGGAACAATGTTTTGTACAGGTCAAAAGGGGTGAAGTCGGAAGACATTGCAACTGAAGTCTGGCAGTGGGGGGGGGGGGGGGGGGGGGGGGTTTCAAAGCTGAACCAAGCGCACAGTAGGGAGGATGTCTCGCAGAAAAATCCTTCTATGGAGAATGTCCCGAAAGATGTTTGTATTGTGCAGGTGGACGCGAGTTGCATTGATACATGGGGAATCACTTTTGGCTGCGTAGCTAAAGACCATGATAATAAGGTTTTAGCGGCTGCCTGCAAGAAGGAGACGACAAATGTTGACTCAACTATGGCGGAACTGCTTGCCATTCGTTGGTGCCTTAGTTTGCTGAAAGATTTGAGTTTTGCTAGGGTGCTCATTCAGTCCAATTCTTCAATTCCAATCGATTATATAAACTCAATCTTATTCAGAGCAAATTTAAAACACGTTATATTGGATTGTAGATCCCTTTTAACTAGTTTTAATTCGGCAACTGTTATATTTTTGAGCAAGAATCTTAATGTAGATGCTCACCAGTTAACATGTTTAATCAAAATCATAAAATTCAATACTTGATTTGACTTCGGTCGCTCATGTTACAGTGTTGTTACTTTTATTTTTATCTTTGAAGCCTAATGAAGTTGTTTAGACGTCAAAACAAATTGTTTAAGATTTGTAGTAATTGTAATACAAAATTATTATAGTAAGTAGCGTCCAGACAGAAAATCTTGTGCTGGTCTATCCGATTACTAAAACTGCAACAATTTATAAGCATTTTATTTTTTTAAAAAAATTAATTAATCATATTTTAAAGGGTAAAATAATATGAAAATAGGTATGTTTAAATCCTTAAATCTTAATTATTTATAACTAGATATATAGTTATATATAGTTATAGATAAAATAAAATAAACAAAGATCCTAAATAATTGTTGCACTCATCACATGACAGTTGAATCAGAAACAATCAGCACCACCTCCACCACCGCCATGGTTGCCGGAAAACGTAAAGCGAAGAACGAATCCGATGAGAAAAATCATAACAAGAATCTCTTTGCATTAATCTCCGACGTCACAAGCACCGCCCAATCCTTCCTCTCACAAAACGACCTCACTCTCCTCCCTTCCCAATCTCTCCTCCTCGATTCCCTAATCTCATCAACTTCTCACTCTCTCTCTACCCTCCTCAAACCCTCACTCTCACTTTCTCTCTCCTCACCCCAACAACAAACCTCCTGGTTCCGCCGTTTCATTTCCTCCACCTCCATCTCCGATTCACGGTGGCTCGACGCTTTCCGCATGTCGAACCCCTCCTTCTTCCACCTCCTCGATCTCCTCGCCCCTTCAATTTCCTCTTCGTTTCCACAAATTTCTCCTGATTGTGCCCTAGCCGCCGCCGTTTTCAGATTAGCTCACGGCGCCGGCTACACTTCCGTTGCGCGAAGGTTTGGGATTTCTCCGGCTGAGGCTTGCCGTGCCTTTTTCACTGTGTGTAAAGCGGTTAACGATAATCTGGGAAATTTGTTCGAACTTCGAAGGGATTCAAATAGGGTTTTGGTGGGTTTTGGTTTTAACTCACTTCCTAATTGTTTTGGTGTTCTGGGCTTGGCTGGTTTTGGAATTGAAGACGGTAAAAATGAGTTTTTGATGGTTCAAGCATTGGTTGATGCTGAAGGTAGATTCTTAGATGTTTCATCTGGCTGGCCTAATTCAATGAAACCCGAAACGATTTTGCGAGAAAGTAAGCTTTATCATGATATTCAGGAATCAAGAGAATTGTTACCAGGATCGTCTTATAAACTAAGTGATGGAAGTTTGATTCCTCAGTATATTTTGGGAGATTCATGTTTCCCACTTTTGCCTTGGCTTTTAACACCTTATAATAGGGTGAATGAAGAAGATAGTTTTACTTCAGCTGAAAATGCATTCAATTGTGCTCATAGTCATGCAATGGGGTTGTTTGGTGATGCTTTTGGGAGGCTTCGAACTCGGTGGCTGCTTCTCTCGGAGTCGAGGAAATGGAAAAGGGACTGTGTTGAGTATTTGCCTTTTGTTATTGTTACTGCTTGTTTGTTGCATAATTTTCTCATCAAATGTAATGATCCTTTGCTGAGAGAGAAAAATGTGACTTGTGTGGAAAAGGAAGGAGATTTTGTTGCTTCTGAGGGAGTTGTAAATGAGAGTGCAGTGAGGATAAGGGATGCACTTGCTTTGCATTTGAGTAGAGTGAGCATCAAAAGATGAATGCTTAGGTTAGGACTTAGTGGTGATCTATGTATTTCGATAAGCTAACAATTTGCAAATGAAACAATGTATGGCTATTAAGTTTGAATTTGATGTCTTTTTGTATAGCATAATGTCATGTTCTAGGTTCTTGTTAACTAGTATAATTTAAACATGAATTCAATTGTGAAAAACAGATTTCAGAATGCTCTGAAGTTGCAAAGAATATGTAGTTAAACTTTCTATAACTAATCTAGTCATTGTAGGTTAAACCTTAGTATATTACAAGCATTAACACTATGGTAAGATAACCAAATACAAACAAAAAACCAATAGAAGCAAAAGAATCAGTATGTACAAGTTGTCAACTATTGACACACGACGACTTGAATCTGTACATTTCCGAGCAGACAGAAGCTATATCGTCATGGTTTAACAGTGTCATTGCAAATCTACATTACTACAGGATTGAACTTTCTACCGGTTTCTCTAATTTGATGCTGCATATCTCACCCTTCTTTTAGTTTCTGAGAGGTGAAAATGGATGCTCTGCTCATTAACATTTACTAGCTAAACAGTGCAACCAACATGATAGCACCCCAATGCCATAACCGGATAAACTCTCTTCTCTTCTTTGTATAACTCGAACAAACTCGTTTGAGCTTAAGATCCCATCACGGTTAGCATCAAACACATGAAATATTATGTCAATCACATTATCTGTAATATCTATGCCACAAACCTGCATGAACATTACAAGATAGCATAATAATGTTATTCGCAAGTTAAAAAATGATCAATAGATTTCGGCGATAAATTTATTCTTAAGCATAATAGGGAAGTATTAGTACTTGAGATGCTGCTCTTTGAAAATCATTTTTTGCCAGCACTCCATTAACTTTTCCATAACTGAATATGGCCAGAGAAAAGGCCTGCAACTTCTTTCGCAGTTCTGCGAATGCTTTAAACTCCTCAAACGTAATTCTTTTGTCTCGTATGTGTGGCTTGTTGTCTAATTCGTCGACTCTATCCAGCAGTTTGTTTATGTGATTGATATCCGCAGATGCAACCAAGGACAGTGCAAAATCTTTGGCTGAAATGGTTCCTCTTTTTTTATGATCATAATGTGAAAATTCTAGTTGCAAGATCTGCAAATTAATTCATTGTTAATGCAGAGTAATATATGTTGCTATGCAAGATCACCAGGTTGAGAGGCTCACATACCTCATCATGCAGTTCTCTTAAGAATTGAACAAACTTGTCATGTTGCAGGCAATCCATTCCGTCTTTGCCGAAAAAATGCTCCAAGAGACCACCATTTTCTACTGAAACTTTAAGGCCGAGGCGTCGTCCGTCCCTGTGGTTCGCCCCTTGTCTGTTTTGTGATCGCATCAGGGCCATAACTTTCTTGAATTCTTCCCTGTCTATTTCTCTATTGACAACACAACGATGGATAAAGCTCGATGAAAATTCTATCAACAAAATAGAACGCCAAAACATAATGTAGTTTGTAAATATAGCGTCTGATGTTTTTGAAAGTAAAGAAGAGGATTCCTACCCATTATTGTCGATATCAAACATTTTAAATGCGACCGAAAAGCTGGTTTCTGGTATGCTGAGAAGAGTAACAAAAAATATGTACCTAGTATCCAGAAACAAGAGGTTTTCATATCAAAACTACATATTACTTGAACTCTGAATCTGACAAGTTTCAAGCAAATAAAAGAGACAACAAATACTCACTCTGGAAAAGAAATGAGTCCATCATTGTTTGTGTCAAAGAGCATAAAAAATTTAGAAGGATCACATTGCAACGCGCCGGGAATTTGCTCCCCTCTTAAAAAACCCTCTCTAACACGGCTTGATTCCGAAGGAGGAAAGACAGGAACAACAGCGCGCATCAAATCTGCAGGTGTCATAAAAATTTCGCCCCCAGTGGTTCGTATTGATGCAAAATACTCGTATACCTAAAATCAAACAAGGTGTCAGGTGATATTATTTTATACATATAATAAAAATTATACAGAAATAAAAAGTAAACGGACAACAAACTATGCTGCTTCAATGCTAACAAGATTTATTACCTTTTCTGGTGGACTCTGCAAGCGAATCCGTTTTTCATAATTGAAGAACACTCTTCTCCTAAAACCATCTGTGCCAAAACAGAAACACAACGATCATATACAACAAGAGATTGAAAATATTCAAATATGAATGAAAGAAAAAGAAGAGTTACCATTGAAGAGGAACTTGGATTTATTTCCATAGTCTGGTTCAAACTGATCTTCAGTAGCATAATCAGAGAAAGAATGCAAAGAGTTATTATTATTATTAGCACCAGAAGAAGATAAAGAGGACCAATACCAAAAACCTAAGGTGGAACCAACAACCACAACTCCAGAAGTTATTGATCTAAGAAAATACTCAAAATCTCTAATCCTTTCATCACCACCATTTCTGGATCCACCAAAAGAGCTCAATGTGGAAGATAGAGATGATGATGTTGATCGTTGTGATTGGCTAGACAACGGCCTAATGTTATGCCTGAGTGACTGTTGGAATCTTCTGCCCCAAGAAAACATGCTAAGGTTGAGTTTGGTTTCAAAAAACTAAAACATGGAACAAAAACATAGGTATATAAGAAAAACGTAATGTTACTAGTTAAGGTTGAAGGTTGGAATTTGAGGTTGTTCAGAGAAGAAAATGTTTGAGAGGGAACAATGGTGATTATTCATAACATACAAACGGATTGAACGGAAAATGTATGGATTTTAACATTTTACTAAGATTGTAATTTACCAAGTTTGTTTGTGGTTCTAAAATGTATAATTTTAGTTATCAGTTTCTTTTTTGACACTATTTTTAGCTATCAGTTTCATCATGTTTCTTTCATAATCTATGTATGTTAATATAATTAAAGCTTACTATACTTGACTATTTAAAACTATAATTAAGTCTTATTACTTGACTATTAAAAAAAGTAAGTTTACATTTGTTTTTATTTGGAGAGAAAGTCAATCCGCATTAATTCGGGTCACCCGAAGTCAAAAGATAAACATGATCTAAAAGATATATTTGTCATAGACACGCAATAGATCAAAATCGTTTGATCATTATGGATCGTTCAATAACAAAACTATATGATATGTTGATAATTGTTCTCTTTGAGAGAGGGGTAAGGTTATAGGACCTTAACAATATTATTATATGTTGTATGGAACAATCTCAATATTTAGAGAGAGAAGTTTTCCCTTCTCTCTGAAATTGGAGTTTCTTCCTTTTGATAAGCGCTGCTTTCTCTTTTATAGGAGCTCCTCCTCCATCATCAGATTTCTTCACCGTCAGTAGGGTGGTTGTCTCCCTTCTAATGGAGGTTTCTCTTCCATTGTAAGTTTCCTTCCTCCTTTCTCACTCTCTCGAATCACGCATCCCTGTTAGATTCATATCTTTTATTAATCCTAACCTCCATCAAGTATTTCCTCTTCTCCGCCAACAACCATCAAATGCTTGTAACTCCAAAATCATCTTCAACAACGGATGGGCCAAATTGGTACAGACATAAAAAAGACCCCCAACATAGCCTCCACCACCCGGAGATATGAAATTTCTGGATTTATGTGTTTGTGTACTTGTAATGGCTACTATTATTGTGTTTGTGTTGTTCTAGTTTATGTTGCTTCTTATTTGTGTTGTTCTGTTGTGTGTGTTATTCTTAGGTTTAGGTTGTTATCAGTTTGTACTCAGGTGTTTGATTATATGCCTCAAACAAGTTTGGATGAAGGAGATGTGTTTATGAGGGAGAATCTAACTTGGGTTGGTGCAAATAAAACTCCTCTTTCCAGTCTACAAATGATTCCTCCATATATTATGAGTTTAATCATTCTTGAGAACATGTATAATCAAATTGTGTGTCACAAAGCTAAAGAATGATCTGTAACTGAATAGATTTAAAGATTATGGTTCTAAAATTCACTTGTCTCTTGCGGAAGAATTATGTTTGGTTGTTTGGATTAAGGAATTGAATTGGTAACTCTCTATTGGTTTCTATTTTCTCAAAGTTTTTTGATGTCCATAGCTTGTTTGGCTTATTTATTAGCGGTGTTGTTAAATTGTGAATGGGAAATACCCTAACACAATATCTTTTACTATGTTTGTACTCTCTCTTTTTCATCTAATAGAAGAGATTATTTTGAAGGTGCGAGAAACACAAGAAAGGGGAGTTTGAATTGGGATTCTAGAAATAAAATCTTTTCGAAATCAACCACAAGAACTTAACACAAGAACAAAAATAAATTAACTCAATTTTATTTATTCTGGTTCACTGTTAACGAAGTTAATCCAGTCCGCCCACCAAGGTGATTTTCCTTTTTCAATCAAGGACTTAATCCACTATAACCAAAATGATTACAATTCACAAAGACAAATTGTCAACGTCTTCTTGAGTAATCTGACTAACACTTAGTCATTTAAGAAACACAACCTCAAAGATAAACTGTCAATGACTTCTTGAGAATCCTGACTAAATTCCTAGTTTCTCAAGGAACGAAATCTCAAATAAAAACGGTCAATGACTTCTTGAGTATACAGACTAACACTTAGTCACTCAAGGAGCAATCAACACATTGTTGAACACAAGTTTTGTATTTACAATAGTGTTTCTTTAAAGTTGATTACACAAAAATGAAGAACAAATAATAATACAACAGTGTTAAGCAAGTTAGAAAACAACAATCCTTTGCTAGCAAGTTAATGAACAAAAGTTTCTTGCTTTAAAAAATTATAGAGTTAATTGTGTAGCATTTCAACAATTTGAGTTAGCGCGAGTTTTTTCAAAGTTGTTCAAATCTTCCAATTCTTCCAAGTCTTCCTTTTATAGATGAAAAGAAATTCATTGGAGGATATAATAGGAATACCAAAATTACAGTTGTCTTCTTGCAACCTTCAGTGTGAGTGGTAGACAATATAGTACTAATAATACAATTCTTGTGCCATAAAAATAGGGTAGCGGAAGGATGTGACATTGTACTAACACTTTATGTGACACCTTTTGATCTTCTCTTCTAATCTTTAGAGGATTCATAGTATGTAAGAGTTGAAGCATGCTTAAAAGGATCAAAACAAGTCTTTAGAATCTTTAGAACTTGTTCAACATAACTTTGTCTTCAGAGTCTTCAGCATGTTGGTCTTAAGAGCTATGTCTTCAGAATCTTCAGAACTTGTTCAACAGAACCTCGTCTTTAGAATCTTCAGAGTCTTGGTCTTCAAAACTCGTTCAACAGAACCTCTTCTTCAGACTCAGAGCCTTGGTCTTTAGAACCCGTTCAACAGAACCTTGTCTTTAGAATCTTCAGAACCTTGGAACAAGAAAGCTTCGAATCTTCAGAGTTTGAGAATCCTTTAGAAGCTCTAGTATAGAGTCACAGTTAGAAGCAATAAAACTAACGTTCATTAGAACCAATGTTTTAAGAAGCATTCTACACAATGACACACACATGCACACTTGTATTCTTTAGTGTGTTGAGTCCAGAATCTGATGACGCCTGTTAGGTGCCAAAATATGTTAATATTTAATATAGTTATTGGTGATTTTTGATTCTATTTATCGCACATTCTTGTATTTCCCTTTTGTTTCTATGCAAATAATTAAATTTTGATTTAATCAAGTAAATAGTTTATAGTTAATCATTTTTTGTCTAAAATTTGTAGGATTATGCTTTTGATTGAAGCTTGGACAATGGAATAGCTTTGAGATGGATTTCAAGCAATTTTTGGGATGCTAAGTGTAACCCTCCGATTTTTAGAATTATTTATTTAAATGAGTTATTAGAAATATTTATGAATTATTGATGAAAATATGATGTTTTATCGAGTATGATGCGTGATGTGATGTTATGTTGTGGGATAATGTGAATTTAGACGAGTATGGAGAATTTTAATAATTTAGATAATTAGTTAATAATTATTTAAAGTTAGTTAGAATTATTACTAATAATAAAATAAGGGAATAATTGGTGTAGGGAAGATAAGGGCAAGGTGGTAATTGATGAAAGGCTAAGTGAGAACAAATTATACAAAACGTATTAGGGGTCCAAAGGTTAAACAAGGAATAAGAGACAATATTTTATTGGGTACGGTTGTGAAAGAATTGAAAGAATTAAGGAAAATCTAGGGCACAAAGAACATAGAATAAATTCGGTAGATTGCGAAGAGGAAAGATCAAGCTAAGAATCTAAGGTAAGAGGGGTGATCTGTCATTATAATTGATATGGGATTTAGAGGTTTGTAGGGATTTGTTGGGGTTTATGATGATTTTGATGATTATTGCAATTGTGATGAATATAAGTTGAAATTGATGAAAATACCATGTTGATTTGCCATGTGTTTGTGTATATAATACCTATAATAATGTGTGGTTGTTGTATGATGATTCTATATTGAAAACTATGAAAATATAGACTGTATTGGTATGAAATCGCAAGAGGATTTAAGAGTGAACAGGTGCAGAATCGCAACAGAGAGTTGTTGTCTGGTGCACATCACCGGGTGAAGGAATGCATCATCGGGCAAGGTAACGTTGTCTGGTCATCGTCGGGCGAGCCAATGAGCGGAGGAATGAGTGGAAAAGTGGCACTCCTGGATTTTAGTATGGAGAGGGCTGTCTCGCTCGAGCATTGTCAGATGATGCTGAAGCGAGAGGTGTATTTCCAGGAGAGAAAAGTGTTCTGTAGGGTGACGGATACCAGAGAAGATAGGTGGTGTTGTAGCTCCCATGTCGACGGGTGATCCTCAGGCGAGAAGACTATGTCGTCGAGCGAGCATGAGGCGATGGACAACAGTAGGATTTTTAAAGTGCAATAACTTGAGTTTTAGAACTCTGTTTGAGGCGCAGTTAGAAGCGTTGGATAGCTAACGCGGTGAACTACATGTGGATGGAATAAAATGAGTAATAACATGTATATTCCAGTATATAGGCTAAGATAGACTTAGATCCTTAAGAGGTAGGCTACAATAATGCATGTTTCTATGAAGAATTGTATTTGATAAGATGATAATTCGTTGTGACTATGAAGTGTTGAATGATGTTGATGCTAATATGTTTATGTGTATTTATCCCATGTTAATATTGATGATGAATCAATGAATGATGATGCACTTGACTAGATGTGGTCGTAAATAATTATGTTGATTGTGCTTCATGCATTCATAGTATTGTTAGGACGAAAGTCCAATGTTGATTTAGGATGTAAGTCTAGTGTTGTTGAGGATGTCAGTCCAGTGTTGGTCTCAATCCCATTGTGTGGATCAAGTGTGTTTGATGTTATACTCCGGTTCCAAGAGAGAATCGATCCTATGGTAGGGATCTTTGGATGGTGATGAGTCTAGTACTCATAACGAATTGGTACCACATGCATGAGTCTATGTTATTGCACTATATTTTATATGGCATTATATAATTGTTGCTTATATGATTTTGTATATATTGTTGTACTAATTGACAATGTTTTGACAATGTTGTTGATTTTGATGCTATGTTGTTGTTGTTGTTGTTTGAATTACTACATTATTAACTATAGAACAACGG